TAAATCTGTTTTTACTTTAGACCTCCTCTTCCACTTGAAGTGCTCTCCAACAAGCGATCATGTGTGTGTGTGTGTGTGTGTGTGTGTGTGAGGTGAGCAATGCAATGAGTGATGCTCTGAACAGCTTTTCTTTTATTCAGCTTTGAGGGGTTTGTTGTTGTCGTAACTTTTACAGTAAGTATAAAACTCTACCGTCAAATGTTTCTGTCAACAAACAGTTTCTGACAATTCATCTATTTATTTTTCAGAGGTGTGTAATGTTGTTTACTTATTTATTGTTCTGATAGTGAGTAGCTCAACTTTAACATCTGTACAGCATATTAAATGGTATTTTTTTAAATACCATTTTAAATGTTTTCCTCTTACCAAAGTATGATGTCATCCAACATGTCTCATAAAAAACTATATATTTTTGAAAGAGTGCAAAGTGAAACTTACCGAGAGGTGTGGGGAGATCCTTCATGTCGTATTCCCACTGAAGGAGGTTGACAATAAAACTCTTCCCTCTCAGTTGTGTCCTCATGTGAGTATCCTTGTTGAACACTAGAGGGCGCCGTGCTCTCAGTTTAGTCAGCTTTTTATTATCCGGTAACTTCACGATCACATCCCCTGCTTTATGGTCTGTTTGACTCTAAATGAACCATAAGTTACTAAATGACCATCATGCAGTATTGAAGAAGACTTGAAACTGGAGATTGAGACCATAAACTCATGTTTACAATGTTTACTGAGGTATTAAATCAAGAGAGAAGTAGTTGTCCTGTAACAACACTTGTTCACCACCAGAGGGCGTCACACTCATGAACCCGAGGCCACTGATCGGCCTGTCCTGTTGCTGTGCTCCACTTTATTTAAGATAATTAGATAGAGAACCTGCTCTACTGGGATTAAACTTCTTCATTTGTTTCTCTACTTTACCATAAATAACAAATCAATAAGTAACAAAACAATAAATAAAAACTGATCTGTAAGTCAGATGTCAACTATTTAAATCTGGATTCATATTCTAAAGAAATAAAATATCTGAAGTACTGAGACGTTCTGTTTTCTGCTCAATCTAGAATATTAAACCAGGATGGTTATCTCACAGGATGTACGTAGAAGCACACCGCCGTGATGCACTGTGGACGGACACACATACACACACACACACACACACACATCCTGTGGCACCATGGCATGGACGTATCCACCACCCCCACACACACTGCGCCGGCAGGACCAAGGCCAACTGCCTGCTAGTATTTTTATAATCTTCATCCTCTCTGACCTGTTGCTCCCCTTCTGGCGCCAGTGGTCTCACCCTCCCCCCCCCTTTGCAATGCCTCAACCTTAAACACTTGCAAACACACACACACAGACACACACTCCTCAGCAGCCCCTCCATGGATAATTGAGACCAGCTGTTGCAAGGTGCCTCTTCTTTCACCCTGCTGCTGCTGCACTTGCCTCTCTGGCAGAAAGCTATCCCAAAGCCCCCTCCTCCC